CAAAAATAAATATTGAACTTAGCCGCTAGCACTTAACAGACTCTCGAAGTGATTAGCACATTCAGATTTACAATTGTAAATAAATTAAGTAATCACGATTGCGATAAAAGACTATCCTAGCACTCATGTTACTTGATTCTAGCGAAAATCTTTTCATGCAGTCACGACGGGCGGTGAATGAAAAAATTAGGTAAATTGATAATGCAATTTATTACTTCTCTGTTTGAAGCAGAACGACAGAGGAGTCAGTGACCTGATTACATTGAAGCAGGTTCGCGTTACAAAACTACATTCGAAATATTACGTTTAAAAATGCAAATGAAATTGCGCATCGATAAGAATTTCACTTGCATTCTATGCTACTCAATGTATAAAGTATCTCAACGCACACCCACCTTGCAACGTAGTTGATATATTATTGTCTGTCCGCTTGTGCGTTGATCAACAAATGTCGAGTCTTGTGTATTTATTTACACTTAAATTTCTCTCTACCTTTTATTATTTATTTATTTTTCTGAATGGACTTCTTATTCCTTATGTGAATTATTAGCACAAACTATATATAGTTCCAGAAATGCACAAAACGGGTTTTGTTGCATTCACAAAGTTGAAAATAAAAATCAAATACCGCGTTGCGAAGAAGAAACAAAAAAAAAATAAAATCAAAAAAGTCAATGAGTTGTTGGGAGAAGTCACGAAAAAATCGCCAGACGAACGAATATATAAAAAAAATTATCTTCCTTGTGGCGCGAATAAAGCAAGCGACAAACTTCTTTGATTAATTCTTTTTCTGTAATTTTTTTTTCTCCTTTTTTGCTTTTCACAGAACGAATTTTTTTTTTCTTTTTTGAATTCACAGCTAAGAGAATTTTATTTTTACATCCACTAAGCACGAGAGCACACAAGCAACTGAATGTTGAGAACTGAACAGAAAAAAAAGTAAATAGCATGGCACAAAGTTTTCAGTGGCGTAGTAAATAAGTCATCAGAAACTTTATTTTTCCTGTGAAATATTGTGAATGAGTTATAGTCAAAAAAAAAAAAGAAGAAGTACGGAGACAATGGCATGAATAGTATGCGATTATCACGTTTCAAATGTGTGGAGTTATAAAAAAATTTACCTGAAAGTTCTTCGCCAACCATTTAATATTCAAAAACCAGCTGTACAAATGCAACACTCACAAAATTTTAGCCGGGTAAATTAGTATTTGTGAGTAAACTTTATTTTTTTGAGAATTATATAGTCTATAAGTGCTTAAAGGCATAGGACGATTATCAGGGACAGACTAAATACTCTCACAATGAGTTCATTAGCATTTTTAATTCTCTCAATAATTTTGCCAATTCTCTCAATCTGCTCATATTTTTTCATTTGAATAATCTTTTTTAGTAAATACTGAAAAGTCGCACATGTGATAATGTTAAACGTGATTTTTCAACAGAACTTAAAGTCAGTCTACTCCTTCTTGTTATGTCATCTTTTGCATGATACATACATTGATGTGATTATTGCATGATTACAAAGAAATTGAATTTTTTTCAGCACATGACAATATATTCAAGGAACTCTTAACTGCTTGAATAAACTTTTTTTTCCGAAGATGTACTTGAAATTGCAAACTGGAAATGTGCTTGATCGATATATTCAAGCTTTCTGGGAATATTTCAATTCATGTGATATCACATGAACTAGCTAGAAATAGCTTTATAGAATTGATTTTATTATGCACGATTAATTCAGACTAAAGCTAGGTGTGTCTTATTAGCATTGAATCACAAGGATTATTCTAGCTTGTATGTAAGTACCAGTATGTACGTCCTTACGATTGTAAAACAATTTTATTATAAAGAAATAACGATGAAAATAAATACTCAATTTATGTGATATAACAAATATTAATGTTGAGAATTGAGTGATCTGTTTACTGTTTCATCCTTACAAGGTTGAAAGTATTTTAAGAATCTCCGTCAGAATTCAAAGCTTTCAGTGTATTAAGTGTTAAACTTTGTGCGATATTGACAACCTCCAAATATAACCAAATATAATGATTAAAGTCTGATGAGAATCGAACCCACGTTGGAACGAAAGAATTCTTACAGATTTCTGGTTTGTTGCCAATCCACTCGAACAAAAAGGCCTTTCTTTTAAACAGGCAAATACTCTTATATTAAGCTCAATTAATTTGATTCAATTCTATTTCGAAAACATACTAGAAATGAACTGAAGTTATTGTTCGCATCTGTTTATCAAAATTATGACAAATAAGAAATAACAAGGCGTGGAAACTCAGGATTATACATGAAAAATCCACATAAAATCCATTAGCCAATGTACATGAAAATGTAAAATTCCTTTTTAATCCCGAAATCATTAATCAAATGCATAAGGGATTTAAAAGTAATTCCACCACATGTTCATTATTATTGTTTTAGGATGTTTGTAGATTAATCCAGAGTTTCCACGCCTTGAAACAAATATTATAAAGCCATTGATAGAGTAAATAATTGAATAGGTTCAAAACAATAACTATAAATTCCGATTGATATTTGCTTCTATTAAGTTCTATAAAATTCCATAGAACATTAAGTAGCTTGGCACCAAAGCTACATTGTAAATCCTGCCAAAAAAATTACTGACACAAATATTAATGACAACCTTACAAGAAAGCAATAACGCGTAGGTGTTATGTCTACATTCTTTTTCTTTGTTTCAAGCAATTCGTAATAATTAAGGAACTTGTAACTCATTCAATACAATTTTTCATGGTGATCATGGGATGCCTTTGTAGCATCATCATGTTCGCGACTGTTTGACACCCGTTCGGACGTCATGCGACATGAAAATTATCAAGAACAGTGGTTTTAAGCTGTTATGACAATGAACTGTCATTTCTTAGTATTTTTCCTATCATTTAATGGGTTTTTTATTGCGTTTTGGTAAAAATCCGCGAAATTAAATTATAAAAAAATAGTCAAATAAATTTCATGGATTTTTTCGACGTTCAATTTCATCGACTTTAGCTTATTTTCTTAGGAGTGAAGTGTAAATAAACACCACATGTATAATAATAATAAAGTAGACATTTGCGAAGGAAGAGTTTGAAGTAAATATCGGATATAAATAAACTAAAATCCACCTACATCTTGCTGCGTCCAAAAGTAATAATTAGATGAAGATAAATATTATTTTATGCAGGCATGGGAGCCAATAGCTTTGCTCAATAAAATTAAAATTAGGAGCTATAGAAATTTTTCTCACCTTGAAAATCATTAGAGATTTATATTACTTTACATCATGCTCAATGGAAAAAATATTAATCTAGGGCAGTGCTGCTGGGAAGTTCACTTATAACGTAACACAAAAAACCCTCCCCCTGAATTTATATTGAAAAAAAAATTTGCTTTTGTCGTAAAATTTCGGACCCTCCTTCCTCCAATAAACACAAAAGGAATATGATTTTGTACTTACTTACTTGCTGTATCCATGTTCCTATGTGGAGCTAAGGTTACAACAGAAAGCTTTCCATCTGAATCTATTGCTGGCTCAATCACCTAGTTTGTACAATTTCTCTGTCCGCACATTAATCTGACATTCATTCAGGATTCTTCATAGAAGTTCCTGGACTTCTTTTCTCTTTCGGATTTCAACCAAGGGTGGTGAAAAAACCTGTGTTTCTGTCCCAACCATAACATTCTCTCTGGCAATAAAATATGATTCATTTCCATACCAAATATATCGGACGATCCTTTCAATAATGTTTAAGTTGCAATACTCAAATAATGATGATGTTGCTTGTATTCGAATTTTTCTTATTATTCTGACTACTTGCTGACTACCTAGAAATCGATGAAAAAAAAAAGAAGTTGAAGGTCGAGTCTGGCCGAATTTTAATATACAAAAATCACATGCTAATTGCGCAACAAGTATTTTACATTTTTCGATGTATGAGATCCGTCACGAGACTGCTTGTTCGTTGTTTTTCAAACTTGTTTGTCATTAAAAGCTATACCAAAAAAGCCTGCTTTAAAAAGTTAAAACAGCAGTGCTTAATTCACGACTTGTTGTAGAACAGTGTTGTCCAAACTGTGTGCCTTTTAATTATTTAGGAAATGAGTCATGGCTTACTCCTAAGGTGTGCCGTGCCTTAAAAAAGTTTGGACAACACTGCCTGTTGAATGAATTCCTAAAACAGGTCGTAAATCTCAACTTATAGGTACCAATAAAAAAGTCGACATTTATGAGTTAAGCAAAGTTATTTGTGATCCTGTCAATCAAACGAAAGTAGATATCCGATACGTTATCATTGTTCATCAAAAACAATGAACTTTGATAAATATTATCATTATCAACAACGCCGATAATCTTAAATAAGATACTTTTAGATTATTTATAATCACATCAGTATAATAAAAGCGCCGCAATTCTATGCCACCAGAAAAATAATGTATATGATAATATAAATCAACTAAAATTAATGGGTCTAAATCAAATTGGCGACGAAATGGCACAATGGAATATATTCATATCAAACTTATTAGATTTAATAAAAATTTATTAACATAAAATTGCTGAAGTGTGCTGCTCTTCCAATAAAAAGGGTAACAAATTCATTGAAGCATCTTATTGATGCTTTAAATTTTAAATTACGCACTCGAATTAATCAAGACATTTTGACTGAATATCAAATATATAAAATAAGTCATTGTACATATGAGGCACCATCGAATTAATACCAACACATAAGAGAGACAAGCCCCTCAAAGTCGCGCGTGACGTCATGGCAATTTTATTTTTCGTACTTTTTGTATATATAGACCCAAAAAGAAGACGAAAGAGAGAATGTAGGTTTATTATATGTTTATGTATGCAAAGATTTCTCATTGCGATATTTCTTTATAAATAAATGCGGTGCACACACACTTTTTAAAGTAATACTTGCTTGGTGATTTACATACATTCTTTACTGCCTTTTTTTATTCAATAGACAGTATATTACAGCCTGCGAAACAATTCAATTGCCAAGGTCATAACAGAATTTCATTACTGATACGTAATAATACAATTTTGATGAGATTCAATTTTTAAAATGTTGTATTCACATGTGAGCTGAAGTGGCTGGCTGGCGGAATGGTTTAGTATTTTGGTACCTAATTATTGCAAAAATTTACGAACCAGATGTACTGAAAGTGAGGCTCTCAGCCTTCCTCTGTAGGCTACAGGCAGCAATGTCAAAAAATGGTTCGGATACAACTATAAACTGTAGGTCTAGATTTATTTGCAGTGATTTAACGCATCCTCACTATAAACTCCCACTAGCTGTTAGAGTACCTCTGGATCTATATAGGCAATTTTTTTAAAATTCATATGTGAACCCCCTCCATGGGTCTGAAGATATGGGACACTATCATACAAAAAAAAAATAATTGTGTAAAAAACATCATTTATTTACGACTCCTACTGTGAAAAGAAGTAAACGAGGCCAAAAAAACACGTGATGATGGTGATAAGTATGACTTTTTTACCTAGAAAAATATGACTTCTCCATGCTACTCATTTAGATGTTGTTATAACTTTTATTGAACAAAATAAATATGGGTTTTTCCTTTTTATGGATTACTGGAAATGTTTTTTTTTTTTTGCAAATAAAGATTCGATTATTTATAACCAAAACCACAAAAAGAAGAAGAAGTTATCATCTTTATAACATATATAATTCCAATTTTTTCTTTTTTTTTCAAATCAAATGGAATAAAAACAATATTAATTGCATTAAATACAACAAAGTATATCATTTGATGTTTTACGTTATTTGACGTACAGTATAATGTCATAGGTTTCATTATGTCTATCATATACAATTGTATATAGTCATTTTTTTATCATGAGATATCATATAAGCAAGTTAATTAACAACTAAAACTTCAAGTGGCGGTATGAATTTCCAAATATGATGAGTATCGTTACTACTTACTGTCGACATGCCTGAAGATGATGATTGCGTTTTACATTGAATATCAACTTTAAAGCGACCAGGAGTGAAGAATATTGCAGAACATTGATGAGTTGCTATATCATTTTTACTCAGGGATGTGATAAATGTGCTAAATAGTGAGAATTAAATTTAAAATTGATTAGTTTTAGAGCGCAAATAATGGTAATGATTTGAGCTTACTAGTTTGGACCAGACATTGTCACTCGAGTCTCTAGACGATAATTTGTAACACCATTTTGAAAGTCTTGATAGAATTGTGCTGTCAAAATTAGATTTTGTAGAGGAGCAACTTGATTATTGCTAACATTTATTTCCATCATAATTTTCGTTCCTATCGATACACTAAATTCATCGGACGGTGATACAGCCTTGTCATTTATTCTGACATCTATTTTGAACGAGAATAATGTACATCATTAAGCTTGTTTTTACAAGATAAGTGTGAAATTGATATTACCAAATTGTATGGGTGCTACAGTTACAAGATCCAACATTGTTGACGATAATGATATGCCTCGAAGTGAAGCTATACCGCACGTTTCGTTTGGTGATAGTTGCCATTTTAAATTCACTAAACTAGCAATATGTTCTGAGCATAATTTTTCCGGAAGATCGACATCCGATGAATTAAATGTTCCACTATAAACGATTCCGCATTCATCTGTTATGCAATAAATTTTAAAAATAAGAAGAACATCCACATTATAAATATTTTTGCATAATATTCTCATTCAGGTTGTTTTGACTTAAATGTGACAGAGTTACCGAATTAATTATTTTTAATGCAATTTAAATCTTTTCTTAAATGGCATTTACTGCACGATTGTGTAATTGATAGACAAAACAATATAATTATTATTTGGACTTACTTGAATTCATAAGCTGTTGTTGTAATTGCTGATAGTCACTCATTATTTTGTCTAAAGGACATCGTTCGACTGGAACAGGAACACGACAACTCTCCTTTGGTTCAATGAGAATAGTCTTATTATTTGGATAATTTAAGGAAACTTCTTGAGTAGTTAAATTTGCAATATCTAGTACGAGATAGAATTGTGAAGAAACTTCAGCCGGTAGTACATCCCAATTTGTAACTTGTAAACTCGGTGTGAGCTCAACATTAAATAATAAAGCACAATGTCTGCAATGATTTTCGCTTAATGCCAAACCACCACTATACTTAAAGATTAATTTAAATTCAAATTGTCTAGTCTGATTGCTTCCGTTCATTATGGCTCCTAAACTTAATGTAGCTAAAGAGGAATGTCCTGAATTTACTGTGGCACCCGATGCAGTCGTTGAAGATCGAAAACTCATATTATGCTCATTATTTCTATGTCTTTGAATCGGCGAGCCAACACGAGAATGTGATAAGAGAGAATTTACACCGCTCAAAGACGATGGTAAGTCATTTTGGTGTGGAGTTAATGAGCTACTAATTCCACCACCTGTTGTCGAAGGTACAACCGGACCGACGAAATCAGCATCTCCATAAATTTTTACATTAAAAGTAATTTTCTTGCCAGGCTCAATTGGCAATTGTTTGCGAATTTCTTCGATGTCAAATGTAAAAATTCTATTTTGAAGTTTCTGATCGAAACCAGAACTCAAACTAGCTTCGATACTTTCAATTGGAATATTGCTAGTATTTTCCAGTGTTACTTCACAAATTTGTGTTTCTCCATTGTACAATGTCAAACTTGCTGTATTTATGACTTCCTCGGAAGTTGAAAGGCAATTTAGTGTTGATTGTTGTATTGATGTTGTAATGTTCATTTTTGGAAGAGCTGGTATGACTTTTATTCTATAATTTACCGGAAAGCATCTCGCAAACATGTGTTTTAGACGACAATTTGATTTAACACCAAGTGTATGTGTACTATATCCATTAATTTCTAATTCACCAATTTCTAAAGGAGTTCCAAATAGTGAAATTGACATTGAAGCATTTGCTGGTAAAACGATGCTTTCGGGTAATGCTTCAAAAACTATTCCATCACTTAATAATCGCATATCACTTACTTGTAACTCAAAAGGTAATGGATTTAAAAGTTTTATTGCTATTTCACTTTTCTCGTGTTGTACCCAAAGAAAGCTTACTTCACGATCACGTTTTTTTGCATAAGCAGTTCGTCTATCTATTGATGAATTAAAATGAATTGGAGTGAATAGGAAAGGTCCACTATCGACTTTATTGCTTTCAATTTTGTGTGGACGTAAACACGCTGATAAATCCTTTAACTCAAATGTCTCACAAAATGGTAAATCTGTAAGATTTGCAGGCGGAATAAAAGTGCCATTTTCGAGAAATAAGGGTACAGGACTTCCTTCACATTGTGAACTTAAATTCTGCAATTGTAAAGCCATTTCCTTTTGCTCACTTGACGATAAATTTTTCCATTGTGTCTGCAGTAAGAATGTCATATGGCGTGTAGCCAATGCAGATTGTCCTAATCGTCTTGAAGCACCAATAAGCTGTTGAAGTAAATCAATTTGTAAACATGGCCATCCTTGATTTATTTCAAGGACTTCTGTTGGTTCCAATGATAATTTATGACCTCGAAAACTGTCCAACATTAATCTATAGCTTGCAGCCCAATCAGGATTTGTATTATTTTGAGCAATATGTCTCCATGCAGCTAATCTTTGACAAAATGCAGCTTTCCTATGATAACCAATTTGCTGATAAAGTTCAGTTAATGTCTCAAATCTCCTTACTTTTTCCATTTCGTTCATATTTAAATTGATGTACAAGACATTCTGTAAGAACATTGCAACATCAAGATTTTGATTCTGTTCGATACAAATTCGTGCAGCTTTTAAGGCTGCCTCCGTTTCAATTATCCCTGCCATACGATATTTACTATAATTAATGATGGCCTCTCGATATCGACTAGTAATTTCATCAGGCTGTAAGATGTTTGAAGGAACCAATATGTTTTGTGATCCATTGCTTGTCATTTTCTTCTCTGATTCATTTGAAGATGTTAAACTATTTGACGACGAAGAATTCGATACAGTTGATCCCGAGGAACCACCTGAAGATGTTGTAGATGATGATTCGTTGTTTTGATTGCTAGATTTATCCAAATTAATTTTCATATCAAACTTACGATGCTGCATAATTTGTTTACTTCCATCCGATGCACGGTGAAGATTTTTTTGTGGTGACGATGAGTTTTGATTGAGAGCATTTGGATTTCCTTGTAGACTTATATTTCTATGAAAATTTACAGAATGCCTTAAATGTGGATAAAGAATCGTGGCTGATGAAGCACAAATTCCTTCCTGAGCACCACCCAACCATAAAGAATCTCCGATGGAACGTAAAGTTTCGGTTGCAGCATGATAATAATTTAAACTTTCAGCTATTAATCCACATTGTAATGTCAAATCCGCAAGATTTTTCGTTATTCGTCCCATAATTCGCTTCTTATTATTTCTACTTTCCATATCTAATCCAACAAAATCTTTCTTTTCAAATGGCGCTAAGAGTAAACTGACTTTATCAAATTTCTCTTTAGTCCTTTCGAGTCTCTTTGATTCTAATATCCAAAATAATGCATTAACAAAGTCTGTTATTCGAGATTCAAGATTAGGACATGTACTATTTTCAGTATAAAAGAAACCACGACTTTTAAATATTGTTGGCATCACCATGTTGTTATCAATGAGAATTTTCTGTTCCTCATTCTCGAGTTTAAAGCCATTTAACGACGATTCGCTTGTATATGAGTTATCAATAGATTTCGTTTCATTATCATTACTCGATGTCGTGGCTGGTGCAAACAATAAAGCTCGCGAATCGTATAAAGTTGATGTATACTTGACTTTTAAACTTTCATGGACTCGACATAGCTCATTTAATTCGCCTTGAGAATCAAATCGTCCAACTGTAATGAGTCCTAATAGTCTACGATGTGTTTGAAAATCTCCCCAATCATTATTTTCTACAGCATGATCACGCACATATCTCACGAAAATATCTCTCGTTTGTCCTGTCGAATCTGCAATTTACACAAAGAAAATTTCACTTCCAGTTCCTTTAAAATTTATTGAAAATGCATACCTTTAATTTTTACATTATCTATTTTCTGTATCCTCTCAAAGATCTTTTGCAATGAACGTGGCTTATTGGGCTAAAATATATTAGTTAAAGTAGAAATTATAATAAACTTTCTATAATGACTAGTCAGAAATTTGTTCTTACCCCGATTCCTCTTATCAGAACTAGCAATCTCGCATGATCAGTGCTTAGCTGATCATAGTCTGGAAAATTCATTGTAAAACTATCTCCAGATCCTGCATTTAAAGCACACAAAGAGCTTCGCATAATTTAAATGATCTACTTAATTTTTTGGAATTCAGAATAAAAGTTACGTAGATTGAGTTTTTGCATGAATTACGCGCAATTTTAAGCTATTCGTAAATAAAAACTATAAGTGCTGAAGCTTATTAATTTGTTTCACAGAATGTATTTATTCTTATTGTTCTTAACATCATGGAAATTGCTTATTTAATGTTTTTTCCAAGAAATTATCTTTTTTTCACGGGGATTGTAACTTTTAAGAAAACAGTGGGCATGTCAATTTTTATCTTTAATGAATTTTCATTTAAATCTTGATTGATTCTTGTCAATTTTCAATTAATCTTATACTATTTCTACTTACTTAAAGTTTAAATGCACAATTTCTGGAGTTGTACTTAAGGATAGGCAATATTAGGAAGTACATTTACTTTAACGGTTTTTAAAAATTCAAAACTGAGCGAGTTTTTAAACAAAACAATAAATTCGAGTTGATTTATGTAGATTACTAAGGAAGACATAGAACATCCTTAAAAATCAGATTTTTCATAGCTGCTAGAAACTGTATTAACCATTTCTTATATTCTTATTTTCTATTTCTCATAAATGACATCAAATTAAAATAAGAAAAAAAGCGCGCTAAGTTTTGATACGAAAAATTGCATTCAAACTTTGTGTTTTATTTATAAATTTTAGAAAAATGATTTAACTTAATTTCTCTGTGTTTTAACAACAATTTAATTAAATAAACTGGTCCAAAATGAACGAGAGCTCATTATTTCAAGGAATAACTGTATTTATAAGTGGAGATCCAGACAAAAAGGTGAATATCTGAAATTTATAATATTTTTCACATGACGCTTATCATCAATTAATTAAACTCGAATCATGAACTTTAATCGCCGATATTACTATCATTATTTACTGATATAAACATCCACTTGATGATTAATGATATAAATAACACAACTTAATGCATTTTAAAACATTTATTTGTAGCTACTGGATTTCTTTAAAAATGGAAAAGGACAAATATCAAAGTTTACAATGGAGAAAACTAATTACATCTTGTGTGGCAAAAATTACGACGAGTCACAATTGCAGGAAGCTATTGATTTATACGAGATTCCAGGCATTACAGAACAGTGGATTCTTAATAGCGTTCGAATGAATAAATTGGCATCAATAAAGGCTTACTCTCCAAAAAGTCAATCAAAATTGTTTAATGGATTTATCTTTACGATGACACAAGTTGATCAACCTGACAGATTGAAGCTATATGCAATGATAACATTTCATGGTGGTGCAGTTCAGAAGGATCTTGATAATAAAGTTACGCATTTAATATCTGGAGGAGCACAGTCTGTTGCATTAAAACTAGCTGGACTATCAAAAATGACTATTATAACTCCAGATTGGGTTTTAGAATGTCTTAAACAAGAAAAACTTGTTGAATCTGAAATTTATCATCCAAGTCTACTAATTTCTCCTGTTAAGCAACAAAAAATCATTATGCCAACTGGAGATATGAAGTCATCATCTATAATGCGCAATCAATTGCAACAAAATATACGTCAACCTCGTCCAATGGTGGTTCAAATGCAGCATACACCTCAACAAATTAACGAAATTATTCAAAGTCAAATTCAGCAGCAACAAATGCAAGAACAAGCTAAATTAAGAGCCCAACAAGCTGCTCAAGTATCTTCAAATCAACAAAGTGGACCATCTTCAATAACTAATGTCCAAAATAGTGGAAACTCTGACAATACTAATCCACAAACTAATACTACATCTATTCTTCAAGTTAATCAGATTCAAAAAATTAATACAAATCCACAACAAACACAGCAACAACAAGTAGTAACAACAAGTGCACAAATGACTCCTGGACCAAATGTTTGCATTATTCAACCCAATCAAAATGCCCAAAACATCCAACAGAACCAGACACAAATGAATGTTAGTATCCAGCAACAAGGTAATCAAGTGCCCACAACGATACAGCAACAGCAACAAAGGCAAATTGCATTGCAACAACAATTGGAAGCAAATGCAAGGAATCAAAAGATCCAATTAATATCCCAACAACTTCAACAAGCTACACAAAATCAAATTATTCAACAGCAGCAGCAACAACAAATGAAACAATTTCAGACCAATCAAATTATAACGACTAATAATCCAACCCAAAATATTCAAGTTCAACAACAGCAAACAACTCAACAACCTCAGCAACAAATTGTAATCAACAATCAACAACAATTTATTGCAACAGTCCAACAAAATCAACAAGGAAACGTTATCCAGCAAAATCAAGTTAATACTAATATTGTTCCACAGAATCAAATGATTAATACAAATCAACAGGCTCAAAATCAACCTAATCAACAATTTGGGAATCAAACGATGAAACAAATTTTAACTACGAATCAGCCTCAAAATCAGCAATTTATAATAAATCAAAGCCCTAATCAAAATATCAAAACAATTACTAGTACAACCCAACAAATTGGTCAGCAACAGCAAACGGTTACAGGATCCAGTGGAGCAAATTACATCCAAATAATCCAGCAAGGACAACCAATAATTCAGATCCAGCAACATTCAGACGGAAATCAAATTCATCAAAAGAACATCCAACAAACACAGCAGCAAAATGTCAGCCAGCCACAACAAATTCAAGTCAGTCAACAGATGCAAACCGCTCCAAATGTTTCAATTCAGTCTAATATGTCCACTCCAATCACACAAAATATTGGTGGGAATATTCAGCAACAAGTTCCTTCATCTCCGCAACAAACGCAACAGACAGGAATAATACAGAATCAAGGTGGACGTCAGAATATTGTAATCATAAATCAACTTCAAAATCCACAGGTAAGAAATATTCTGCGCTATATATAAATTATTTTGTGCCAAGCAAAGACTAATAGAATATGCAGAGACCTTATAAACACACTCATATTAAGACATTGAATCTGAAAAATCTGTTACTAAAACATCATCCACGTTTGTCTAATTCACAGAATGTAAATCAAATGTCGTTACAAAATCAGAGGTTCCAAACACCGCAAGGTCAGTTTCAAAAGACCCAGATTGGTACTCAGCAAATAATTCAACAAAAATTAATAACTGCAAATGATGGAAGTATCGTACAACATCATCAAAGTGGTCAGCCACAACAAATTATTCAAGTCCATCAAACCACAATTTCTGGTGGACAAATTCAACAACAAAACGTTGAGGGAATCATTATGGATCAAAAAATGCACAATGTTCAAGCTCCCCAACAAACAACACAGCAATTAACACAAGCTCAGGCTGTACATCAAATCGCCCAACAGCTTCAAAGTGCCGAAATTTTATCACAAAATCCATCTCAGCAGCAATCACAAATGCCACAACAAACGGCTAATACTCAAATGAACATAATTTCAAATCAAGCAGGCACTCATCAAGTCGTACAATCCGTAAATCCGGGAACTCCACAGCCTGGACAAATTACACAAACTCAAAGATGGATTCCTCAAAGTCCTACGCAGCCACAAACTTCTCAACCACTACAGACGTCTACCCCACAATCACCAATCGTTCAGCATATAATTACAACTAATCAACAAGGTGCGACAGGACAACAATTTATTCGTGCAACTGGACAACGACTTGGTCCAATTTATCTTGATGCTCAATCTTCGATTCAATTTCAACGCATGGATCAAGCACAACGTCAAGAATATTTAGAACAATTGCATAATAAGCAGCAACAACAGCAAAGAGAAGGTGTAATGTTCCAGCAACGTCCAACAGTTCCTAATACAGTTAGTGGTCCAAGACATATTGTAATTCGATCACAAGTTCCACCAGGATTAACTACACAACAGCAAATTCAATGGATTAGTAGTCAAAGACGTCCAATTTTAATTCGTCAACCTAATCAAGTTGGAATGACACAAATTAACCAGCCAGTTCCAAATCAGATTCATAATGTTGCACAAATAGATCCAAATGCAACGCCACAACAACAACAGTTGCAGAGACAGCATTTCCAACGCTTACAACAAATGCAACAAACACAAAAAATGGCAGGAAATGTTCAAACTCCAGTTTCTCCAAGAGGAAATCCAATATTTCCGACTAATGAACAAAGCGGAAGTGGACTAATGGAAGGAATTTCTCAGCAAATCACTCAACAAATTACACCGACTGATGTAAATGGTGTTTCAAGTAATAAAACTAAAACTGCCTTAGCTAACATGCTCAGTAATCGTTTGGGTGGAAATAGTGGAAATATTCCAGTTCCAGTTGAACAAACGGTAGTCGATCAATCAGCGTCTGGTACATTAAGAATGATGACAGCACAGCATGCATTAAATGTCCAAGGAATAACACCAGTGGTTCGAAATCCACAAGAATTAATTGTTTTACAGCAGCAACAGCAACAACAAATTCAGCCACAAATAGCTGGAGGACAAAATATCGTTCAAACACATCAACAATTACAACAGAGAAGAACTTTGGGAAATATAACGAATGCTCAAGGTGGAATCGTTCCTACATCTCCAGTGATTGTTGGAAATCAAATGCAAACAGGAACACAAGTAATTATGCCTCCATCACCAAGCACAAACATTAAACAGCCACCATTTAGTCCTGGACGTGCGCCACCTCCTCAAATTGTTAATCGTCCACAATTCTATGGACATAATCCTAATTTAAAACTTCCACCAGATCTATGCTTGCTCGGTTGTCATTTCCTTATTGTTGAGTATGATGAAACAAATGCAGAAGATTTAGAGGATTGGACAAAATCCATAAAATATCATGGAGGTGAAATTGAGGCATGCTATAATCTAAAAGTTTCTCACGTTCTTTGTAAGACTCAAAAGCATGGAATTGTAATGCAAGCCATAAGAGATAATAAACGATGCGTTACTGCTTATTGGCTTAATGATATTATTTTGAAGAAGCAAGTAATACCTCCATGGCAAGCAATTCATTTGCCATCATCAGCTGTTTTTGGATCTTTAAGACCTGGAATGAAGCATATAATAACAATAATGGGATTCGAGAATGATGAACGTGAAAGGGTTAAACGGATGATTGAAGAAAGTGGTGCAAAGCTAACGACTTATTTAAATCGTCAAAATACTGTAATGGTCTGCAAAAGGCTTGATCAAATGAACAAGAAATATTTACATGCAAAAGAATTCAATATTCCTATGGTTAATGTTGTGTGGCTTAGTGATCTTTTGCTTGGAAATACTAGCTTGATTTCTCAGTTCGAATCCCCGAAATATCAGCAATACAATCTTCCTCAGCCATTAAGAATCGACCATTCAATTGTTCCTCAACTAATGAGTAAGTATATTTTTGACAATTTATTCTTCGTTGCTTTTAAACTTAAATCATCATTAAATAGATGCCTGGAAAGCACCAATCAATTTGACACAAGAAGCTCATGAGAAACTAAAGAGAAGTCAAATGGAACCACCTCCAAAAAAGCTTAAAAAGATGAGAACAATTCCTTTACTGGAAGTAATTCCTGACGAAATTCATTGCATTAGACACCCGAATTTGAATGAAATTCCAATTGTTATGTTTTCACATGTTGACAATATTGATGGATTATCGCGTGCTGTAATGTGAGTATTTACTGTATTTTGAAAACTTAATGAGTGTGGTCAGAAATTTGAAAATTTTCTACGGCTATAAAAATTGTTCTATGTGCGTTCAGAAATTCAAATTTATTTATACCGTTAAAAAAAATGAAATTCATAAAACCGGTAAAAGACAAACCTTTTTTTAGCGCATTTTTGATACTTGTTTCTAAACGGTAGCTTAATATCTCACTTTGTCTGTTCGTTCGGGCGGAGAAAAACTTTTTAACTAGACATCGTAGAGAGTACAAGTTTGTTTTATTAGCTCAGGTCCATAGTTTTATTTTCGGGAAACGCATTTAAAAGTCTTAAAACAGTGTTTTTGTACTAAAATTAATGATTTTTATATTTCACACTATACTATAATTATTGTTTTTGAAGTGCAACTTTTAGCGGGAAAATTTCAAATTATTTTTTGACCGTCAAATAACAAGACTTTCTATATAAACATTCATTGTAATTATTTGCTAATTGCACTAAAATTATTGATCTTCTAATCTTCTAATGATCTGTAAATGAACGCAAAATAAATAGATAATTAAATACTGATCGCTAACACAAAAATGCGCTTAAGTCCCTCGATCAATAACACGAGGACTTCTGTAATTTTTTTGAAAATAGCCTTCTTTGATCAAACCCAAAAATGCTTTAAATTGCATTTTAAAACATATCTAGGTATTATAAATGATAAAGAATGCTAATATAGATATAAAATCGATATTTTTTTGAAAATAGCCTACTATGATCAGAACCAAAAATGCTTTAAATTGCATTTTAAAACATATCTAGGTATTATAAATGATTAAGAATGCTAATATAGATATAAAATCGATATTTTTTTGAAAATAGCCTACTATGATCAGAACCAAAAATGCTTTAAATTGCATTTTAAAACATATCTAGGTATTATAAATGATTAAGAATGCTAATATAGATATAAAATCGATATTTTTTTGAAAATAGCCTACTATGATCAGAACCAAAAATGCTTTAAATTGCATTTTAAAACATATCTAGGTATTATAAATGACGAAGAATGCTAATATAGATGTAAAATCGACATTTTTTTTTTGAAAAAAGCCTACTATGATCAAAACCAAAAATGCTTTAAATTGCATTTTAAACATATCTAGGTATTATAAATGACGAAGAATGCTAATATAGATGTAAAATCGACATTTTTTTTGAAAAAAGCCTACTATGATCAAAACCAAAAATGCTTTAAATTGCATTTTAAAACATATCTAGGTAATATAAATGATTAAGAATGCTAATATAGATATAAAATCGATATTTTTTTGAAAATAGCCTACTATGATCAGAACCAAAAATGCTTTAAATTGCATTTTAAAACATATCTAGGTATTATAAATGACGAAGAATGCTAATATAGATATAAAATTGACATTTTTTTTTGAAAAAAGCCTACTATGATCAAAACCAAAAATGCTTTAAATTGCATATTAAAACATATCTAGGTATTATAAATGATAAAAAATGCTAATATAGATATAAAATCGATATTTTTTTGAAAATAGCCTACTATGATCAAACCCAAAAATGCTTTAAATTGCATTTTAAAACATATCTAGGTATTATAAATGACGAAGAATGCTAATATAGATATAAAATTGACATTTTTTTTTGAAAAAAGCCTACTATGATCAGAACCAAAAATGCTTTAAATTGCATTTTAAAACATATCTAGGTATTATAAATGACGAAGAATGCTAATATAGATATAAAATCGACATTTTTTTTGAAAAAAGCCTACTATGATCAAAACCAAAAATGCTTTAAATTGCATTTTAAAACATATCTAGGTAATATAAATGATAAAGAATGCTAATTTAGATATAAAATTGATATTTTTTTTGAAAAAAGCCTACTATGATCAAACCCAAAAATGCTTTAAATTGCATTTTAAAACATATCTAGGTATTATAAATGATAAAGAATGCTAATATAGATATAAAATCGATATTTTTTTGAAAATAGCCTACTATGATCAGAACCAAAAATGCTTTAAATTGCATTTTAAAACATATCTAGGTATTATAAATGATAAAGAATGCTAATTTAGATATAAAATCGATATTTTTTTTGAAAATAGCCTACTATGATCAAACCCAAAAATGCTTTAAATTGCATTTTAAAACATATCTAGGTAATGTAAATGATAAAAAATGCTAATTTAGATATAAAATCGATATTTTTTTGAAAATAGCCTACTATGATCAAACCCAAAAATGCTTTAAATTGCATTTTAAAACATATCTAGGTATTATAAATGACGAAGAATGCTAATATAGATATAAAATCGACATTTTTTTTGAAAAAAGCCTACTATGATCAAAACCAAAAATGCTTTAAATTGCATTTTAAAACATATCCAGGTATTATAAATGATAAAGAATGCTAATTTAGATATAAAATCGATATTTTTTTTGAAAATAGCCTACTATGATCAAACCCAAAAATGCTTTAAATTGCATTTTAAAACATCTAGGTATTATAAATGATAAAGAATGCTAATATAGATATAAAATCGATATTTTTTTGAAAATAGCCTACTATGATCAGAACCAAAAATGCTTTAAATTGCATTTTAAAACATATCTAGGTATTATAAATGATAAAGAATGCTAATTTAGATATAAAATCGATATTTTTTTGATAAAAGCCTACTATGATCAAAACCAAAAATGCTTTAAATTGCATTTTAAAACATATCTAGGTATTATAAATGATAAAAAATGCTAATATAGATATAAAATCGATATTTTTTTGATAATAGCCTACTATGATCAAACCCAAAAATGCTTTAAATTGCATTTTAAAACATATCTAGGTAATATAAATGATAAAGAATGCTAATTTAGATATAAAATCGATATTTTTTTGAAAATAGCCTACTATGATCAAATCCAAAAATGCTTTAAATTGCATTTTAAAACATATCTAGGTAATATAAATGATAAAGAATGCTAATTTAGATATAAAATCGATATTTTTTTGAAAATAGCCTACTATGATCAAACCCAAAAATTTTTAAATTGCATTTTAAAACATATCTAGGTAATATAAATGATAAAGAATGCTAATTTAGATATAAAATCGATATTTTTTTGAAAATAGCCTACTATGATCAAACCCAAAAATGCTTTTAATTGCATTTTAAAAGATATCTAGGTATTATAAATGACGAAGAATGCTAATATAGATATAAAATCGACATTTTTTTTTGAAAAAAGCCTACTATGATCAGAACCAAAAATGCTTTAAATTGCATTTTAAAACATATCTAGGTATTATAAATGACGAAGAATGCTAATTTAGATATAAAATCAATATTTTTTTTGAAAATAGCCTGCTATAATCAAACCCAAAAATGCTTTAAATTGCATTTTAAAACATATCTAGGTATTATAAATGATAAAGAATGCTAATTTAGATATAAAATCGATATTTTTTTGAAAATAGCCTACTATGATCGAACCCAAAAATGCTTTAAATTGCATTTTAAAACATATCTAGGTATTATAAATGACGAAGAATGCTAATATAGATATAAAATCGACATTTTTTTTTGAAAAAAGCCTACTATGATCAAAACTAAAAATGCTTTAAATTGCATTTTAAAACATATCTAGGTATTATAAATGACGAAGAATGCTAATATAGATATAAAATCGACATTTTTTTTTTTTGAAAAAAGCCTACTATGATCAAAACCAAAAATGCTTTAAATTGCATTTTAAAACATATCTAGGTATTATAAATGACGAAGAATGCTAATATAGATATAAAATCGACATTTTTTTTTGAAAAAAGCCTACTATGATCAAATCCAAAAATGCTTTAAATTGCATTTTAAAACATATCTAGGTATTATAAATGATAAAGAATGCTAATATAGATATAAAATCGATATTTTTTTTGAAAATAGCCTACTATGATCAAACCCAAAAATGCTTTAAATTGCATTTTAAAACATATCTAGGTATTATAAATGATAAAGAATGCTAATTTAGATATAAAATCGATATTTTTTTGAAAATAGCCTACTATGATCAGAACCAAAAATGCTTTAAATTGCATTTTAAAACATATCTAGGTATTATAAATGATAAAGAATGCTAATTTAGATATAAAATCGATATTTTTTTGAAAATAGCCTACTATGATCAAATCCAAAAATGCTTTAAATTGCATTTTAAAACATATCTAGGTAATATAAATGATAAAGAATGCTAATTTAGATATAAAATCGATATTTTTTTGATAAAAGCCTACTATGATCAAAACCAAAAATGCTTTAAATTGCATTTTAAAACATATCTAGGTATTATAAATGATAAAGAATGCTAATATAGATATAAAATCGATATTTTTTTGATAATAGCCTACTATGATCAAATCCAAAAATGCTTTAAATTGCATTTTAAAACATATCTAGGTATTATAAATGATAAAGAATGCTAATTTAGATATAAAATCGATATTTTTTTGAAAATAGCCTACTATGATCAAATCCAAAAATGCTTTAAATTGCATTTTAAAACATATCTAGGTAATATAAATGATAAAGAATGCTAATTTAGATATAAAATCGATATTTTTTTGAAAATAGCCTACTATGATCAAATCCAAAAATGCTTTAAATTGCATTTTAAAACATATCTAGGTAATATAAATGATAAAGAATGCTAATTTAGATATAAAATCGATATTTTTTTGATAAAAGCCTACTATGATCAAAACCAAAAATGCTTTAAATTGCATTTTAAAACATATCTAGGTAATATAAATGATAAAGAATGCTAATTTAGATATAAAATCGATATTTTTTTGATAAAAGCCTACTATGATCAAAACCAAAAATGCTTTAAATTGCATTTTAAAACATATCTAGGTATTATAAATGATAAAGAATGCTAATATAGATATAAAATCGATATTTTTTTGATAATAGCCTACTATGA